GGTTAGGAAAGAACATGTATGTGTGTGTCACAATTTACAGTCTAATGTGATCAATCTGAAAGTTATCGTAGTTACAGTACTTTTCCCTATGGTCTTACGTATATGACATATATGGTATATGAAGTTATTCTATTTTAATTGATAAAATCGAGATTAAGAAGAAGAAAATCATTTTTTACATTTGTATCGATTAAAGTAATTTTAAAAGAAAGAAAACAATAATAATATTCTTTAAAAATAATATTTTTATTAGTGTATTTTAAAAGAAAATAAATAATATATTTATTCGAAAAAAACATTTTGACCTATTTAGTAACAATAGGGTAATTTTGGACCTAAATATGGACGAAAGCATTTTTGGATCAAACTACAAATAAATGACATTTTTACATTTCGCATAATTTAAAAACCTTTTTGACATTTCCGTATTATATATATTGTTTGTGGGGTAAAGGAATGCAGCTTTTGTTAATTATGAGGTTAACGTTATAATGAAAAGTTGATTAAATTTTTCACGTGATTCACGGAGCTAGTTGGGAAGAATCTTCATTTATTCAAAACTTGGCAATTGAAAATTACATTGGAGATCATTTTGTAATTACTTAAAATGAACAATTCTACATGTCACTCGTATAAGTTATCTTAGGATTGATTATTTTACTTGTGTAACAATTAACATGTCATCTCTTAAGGTAAAATATTTTTCAATTCAACTTATTTTCTTCAAATTTAAGAAAAATGACTTTCCTTCAAAAATTAAGGAAAACATTTTTTAAAACTCTCTTCCAATTTCATATTACAATTATTTTTTTTTGAAAAAATAAATTTAAAGATTTTCAACTTCAATTTTTTATTTTTTATCCACCCCTACCCCGCCAGCCCCCAACCCCCCAAACAAATAAAAATAAATTATAGTTTATTTTTAAAAAATATTTTTATTTTTTTATTTTTTTATTTTTTCACCACGCCCACCCTTGACCCCCATCAGCCCCACCCCCACCAAAAAATAATAATTTAAGTTAGTTTTTTTATAAAAAATATTTCGAACTTCAATTTTTATTTGTTTACCCCACCCTTAGCTCTACCCCAGCCCCCTACCACCCCCCTACCACCTCCCCCCCAAAAAAATAAAAAAATTAAGCTTTGTTTTTAAAATAATATTTCCAATTTCAAAATTTTATTTTTCACCCCACCCCACCCTCACTCCGCCAGCCCCCCCTACCAGCCCTCCCCCCCCCCCCACCCCAAAAACAATAAAAATAAAATTTAAAATTTCCTTTTAAAAAATATTTCCAATTTCAAATTTTTATTTTTTCACCCCACATCAAATTATGTTTGTTTTTAAAAGATATTTTCAATTTCAATAATTATTTTCTACTTTCTAGTAAAAATAAAAGATATTTTTTCAAAAATATTTTTCACTCATAAATTTAACACTAAAAAATATTTTCTACTAACCAATCAAACATGAGAAAATAAATCAAATATCTACTTGTGTTTCAGGAAAACATTTTCTAGAAAAATATTTTTCTTTATACCAAACACACCCTTTATTGCAAATCATTAGTCAAATATTAAACTAATGAAAAGTAGAAAAGTCGGAATTTATATATATACATATAGAAAAACTATTTAACTAGACATATTTTAGTGTCATATATACTTATCACATGACCCAAAAGGAATTTAATTTGTCTTAGAAGTTTTAACCGCTTTATTCATGGGGTAAACAAATGTCACGTAGACAACTTCAATGAAATGAGAAACATATATTTTTTGTCAGATCAAAATGGAAAACAAAGATATTAAACACTAAAGACAAAATAAACATCATCCCAATTTGCTATACTCAGTAAATTTTGTCAGGTAAAAATGGGAACTAAACTTGAGATTCTGAATTAAAGTAAAATACTATATCTTTATTTTCTTTTGAAGCATCCAAATGACACTTTAACATTTATTCTTTACTATGGAAGCAAGGCTTAAAATATTCCAGTAGCCCTTTAAATATGGCTACATATCGTTGAATTATTATCAAACATCCAACAAAAGAGCATCCCAAGCACTATTGTAAACTGGTACGTAATTTGTTCTAATATAGAATATATTTTTTTGGTCTTCATGGTATGTCTTTTAAACCATCAATAATTCTTTTTATTTTTGTCTCTTTTTTTAAAAAAAAAATATAAGTAACATTTGTTCCACAAAGCAAGTAAAATCAAATTTAGATGATTAATTCTTAGAGTGATCACGAAAGTTGGTTTGTCAAAATGATGTATATCCATTTATATAGCACATCAAATAATATTAAAGAATAAATATATTAGTGATATTACTTATATAAATCATTTCCCATAGAAATTGTGTAATAAATAGTTAAAGGTTTCAAACATTTAGTACACGTTAAATGCAACGAAGAGTTCGCCATTTTATCCTCCTATATTTAAGGACCTTTCCTAAAAATTTTCATTCAATATTGAGAGAACTAATAGTAATTAAAGAGTCCTAAATCATAGGTAAGAGAGAATATATTTCAAAAATAAATACTAAAAAATATGATAAAAGTAAAATATATAGTAAAGTTCTAAGGTTTTCTCATCAACACAATTATAAGACAGGTCGATAGTTATGAATTTAAGCTGCAAATGTAAAATTGCATAGTGGCGGTTTAACACATCATAACAGGTAATTTTATTTCCTCTCAAATCTTATCCACTTAAAATTTTATTTCCTCTCAAATCTTATCCACACATCATAACAGGTAATTTACTTTGTGAACTTGATTACTTTTTTATTTTTATTTTGTGTAGTTCAAAAATTTTTCTTTTCCCAATTATATAGACAAACTGTTCTATAAAGGAAATTATTATTTCATGATTTAGTGGGATCCGGCTCCTTTTTATTTCTCTTCTCTTCATTTTTCCAAGTTCTAGCTTGGATTGAAGACACATGCCATAGTTTAAAATTAATGGTTGAGATCTAATTGATTAAATCAAAGTCCTAACTATAATTATTTACTTGCATATATTTGCTTCTTAATTTTTTTTTGCAATCAATTATCTTTTCCCTAAATTTATTAAGAACTTTTCTTTACTGCCCTGAATACATATTTAAAACTTTCACTAAATATTTTTAATTTTTTTGAAACAAATTATAATACAGTTAAACATTTTTATTATTCTAATAGAGTATTAAGAGCTACCGTGTCTATAAAGAAATATGGACTCTATTTAGGGAGTAAGAAAGAATTTAAAGTTAGAGTGACAAAATTTATTTTAGTCCTAAAATTTTAAAAAAACGTCAGGTCACAATTTTTAAATATTTTATTTGGTAAAATATTATTTGAGAAATGGCAAACGTTAGGAAAAAAAGTAAAAAATCAGCAAAAAATTACTCAAGTAATTAAGAAAAGAATTTCTTTTAAATATATTTAGGAAAAATATAATGTAAATCCAGAATTGTTGGATTGCAAAAATATTAAAGAAGCAAATATATGAAAGTAAAATAACTATGATTAGGACTTTGCTTTAATTAATTAGATCTCAACCATTAATTCTAAGCTATGACATGTGTCTCCAATCCAAGCTAGAATTTGGGGAAAATGAAGAGAAGAGAAATGGAGAGGAGCCTTATCCGATTTAGTGATACTGATTTAGGGTTAGTGGTACAACTATCGTTTTGTTAGCCTATTGGTAGATGAGTCTCAATTTTCTTCAATTTTCAGATTGTCATCTTTTGCTTTACCGCGATCCTTGATTTTGTTTTTAATTTGTGTTTTTGTATACCAACATAATTTTGACTATTGATATCAATGTCAAAACTTTGTTCCCCACATTTACTTTTGCTCCTTGTTCCTCTTTAAGTACACTTTTTATCTTACAAATTTTACGTTATTTTTTAAAATTTTATACTTAATCATATAATGTATACATAACAATTTGTTTTTTAAATATACATTTATTATTAATTGGCATACTAAACATGTGCAAAGCACGTACACTAAACTAGTATAGTTAAATATCTTAACATGATAGCAGAGCAAATAAAAGGTCTTAGGTTCAAACCTCACTATCATCTCCAAAAAGAAAAAAAGTATTCCACGAGTTTGACCAATGAAAATAGCTAAGTCGAACACTAAAGGGGAGCTATGGTTAATTAAAAATGGGAAAAAAAGACAAATATACCCCGAACTATCATAAATTATATAAAGATACCCTCCGTTATACTTTGGAACATTGATGCCCCTACCGTCTAAATTTTGGATCATATATACCCTTATCATAGACGGCGGGACACATGGCATCATCTCAATGACCTACACAAAATTATTTAATTTTTACCCAAAAATTAAAACCCACCCAATGTTTGGACGACAGGGGACCAATGTCTCAAAAGTATAACAGAGGGTATCTATATACCATTTATGATAGTCTGGAGGTATATTTGTCTTTTTTCCTATTAAAACTATGTTATTTCTAACAATTTAAACTTTTGGATAAGATATCATCACTTAAACAATTTGAAATTGAAAATTTTCATATGTAAATCATTTCTCCTGCTTTGTGGATTTTCTTTTATGTATGTGTGAACAAAGCATATTGATCGAGTAGAGTAACTAGTCATGAATGTTTTATCTCCTTACTTTCTTTCAACTTGAAATTTCGACCATGTAGCATAGCACCTGCCCCAAACTCGAGTAGAGTGGATTTTCATTTAATATAAAAATGTTTAATTAGGCACGGACTTTTGAAATGCCTCGACACAATGTTTATAAATGAGAGTTGGAGAGAATTGCATGCTCCAACAATATATACTCTAATGTTGAAGGAAAGAAATTTTTCCCTTGCCTTGTGCCATATTTATTAAATGTGCAATATTTTTGATAGTCCTTCTCGACATGTTTAATTATTTTTCATATTCTTATTGTAATGACCGGTAGCTGAAGCTTTTCATAATTCTATACATATAGTTGAATATTTTTCTTGTTGTAGGAGAAGAAAATGCCGTTAATGCAAATGGTTCCAATGTTGATGAAAGAAGAGAATAAGGAGGACTATGAGCCAAAAGTGGTTTCATTCGGGCCTTACCACCATGGAAATGAGAAGCTCAAGTTCGTTGAGAATTTCAAGCCCACTGCAGTTCAAATGTTCATCGGAGACATGAATGAAGATGTTTTCATTGATGCGATATTAAGGGAGATTGAGAATGTTAAAAAGTGTTACCTAGAAGAATTCACACGTAGGTACACAGATATACAATTTGCTCATATGATGCTTAGAGATGCATGTGTCATTTTAAATTATTTCGGACCAAAGGATATTGACAAGTCATATAAAGCGGCGGAGACAATTAATAATCATCTTGGTATTGCTGTTTATAACAGCATTAGACGTGACATGCATTTGCTTGAAAATCAAATACCTTTCCTAATTCTCGAGATGTTGGTTGCCTTGAGATATAATACTCCTAGACATTCATTTATAAAGGCGATGGAACGGGATTCCTTTAAAATGTTCTTCAATGGAATGATTGAACATGCTGAAGACAAAGATGATCTAGGGAAGAATCCCGCTCACCTTCTTGAAATTTTCCGAAGAGTAATTGTGACAGGTCCAGAGCATGATCCTATTTTAAGGGAAAATGAATATGGTTGTTGCAATGTTAAGGACATGCTAACTCGCCTCGAAAATGGTTGTGGTAAATGCTGCAAAGATGATGAAAATCATGAAGAATGGCATGGCGGCCAGTACGTGTTCCGTTCAGTTACGGATTTGAAATCAAAGGGGATATATTCAAAGGCTAGTGGGATTAAATCTCTCAAAGGTGTAAGGTTTAGTCCAACTAGATTCTGTTGGTCTGCTGAACTAAAGCTCCCGTTTATGTACGTTGATATGTACACTAGAGTGTTTTTCAAGAACATGATCGCGTATGAGTTCTCTCCGAATTCTCTTATTAATAACGATAAATCAGTGACTAGTTACGTGAGTTTTATGAAACTACTTGTGGTTACAGAAGAAGATGTGAAGGAGTTGAGAGAGAACAAAATAATAATCAACTGCTTAGGGAGTGATGATGATGTGGTGCAAGTGTACAAAGATTTGAATACTTATGAGGGAGGGGATACTTCTTATTTCTGGGATGTCAAAGAGCATATCGAACATCACTATCACAGCAAAATAAGGACTTGGATGGCTGAGTTTAGAACCACATATTTTAACAATCCATGGACTATAATTGCTTTGGTTGCTTCTCTTTTCCTCCTCTGCTTAGATATTGTCCAGACCTACTATTCAATACATCCTCCTCCAAATTAAACGACCCTGGTGATGCTTAATTCATCTTCTTCACTAGGTGGATTTTTATTTTTATTTGTGATGTTGTTTGAAGTAATTATATACTGTATTACCTTTCATACAGTCCTCTATGTATTATTGTATGGGGGTGGTGTTTTTTGTATGTATACTTGTAAACACTCCCGTTTATTTCATTAAAAAATAATGAGGAGTTTGAGAATAATAAGGGAGATTGACTATTACTTTCTTCGTCTCAATTTATGTGGCATCTTATAGATTTCAACATTCAAACAACTCTATCTTTAATCCGAATTTTTTCATATGCTATCTTATAAATATTAATTATCAATTATTGTATCACGATTCTAAGTCGGATGGTGCCTACCATAAACCTGCAGTAGGCAAACCAAAATCCAGAACGACAACGATAAACTAAAACTAGAATTACACTACATGGAAGCAAAATAGACATAGAACAGGGCACATAACATGGATATGTATATAACGATATACAAAATATACAAAAATGGCTCAAAAGTGACCAAGAAAGACGAATATGCATAAGGACCAAACCGCAGACCTGATGTCACTAGTACAAGAGCGTCTAAGTACATAAAGGACTATACACAATTGAGTTGTCTAATCAAAATACATAGACATTACAAGAGGGAAAAACAGCAAGTTTTTGAACGCCAGCACCGACGTCGTCGGCCTCGAGAGATCAGGAATCAGCGAGGGTGGCTTGTACGGGGCATTGCATCAGAAAAATATGTAGAAGTATAATATGGTATCTAAATATGGAGTACTTAGTAGGCATCATAGGCCGATCAAACTCATATTGAAACTATAGAAATAAGAGAGGCATGATTATGTGCTAACTCTATTAAGCTGCATCAAACTAGGAGCATATTCACAACCACAAATGATGAAGAAAATAATACTCATGTTAATTTCACACCAAACCCAAGTATATCAGAGATTGGAACACGGTATGAGATGATGCATTGCACATGTGGCCAATGCATAAAAGTAAAAAGTCTCGAAAATTACCTTGTTGGTTGTCCTATAGGCTCCCCAAAACATTTCGTAAACCTGCCAGATCTCATGATCAACATATGTAAAATGCATGAAGTGAAAATCGGAATAATCCCTTAGGCTCACAATCTCATAATATAGTACATCCCCATGATAAAGCCCATATTTCAATCGTAAAAAACAGTAAAATCCAAAGTAAACCCCTTTTTAAAGTTAAAGCCCCAAGAAAATGATACATTTTTTTTCAAAATTTTGACCCCCTTATTGAGTAAATCAATAAAACGCTCCCTGGAGCCCCCAACAAGTAAAATCTAAGGAAAATCAATTTCAAACCCGAAATTCCTATTTTTCAATTCTAACTCGGTGTACGTTCCGAGCCTACACCTGGCATGGCCGACACTCAGTACCATTGCTAGTCCCAAGCTAATCCTTGGTCGGACTGACTATTGAGTGGAAAACTATACATACATGTGAAAACCTTGCAAAATGAACATTTAAAAATCAATTAAAGATATATCATGCAAAGTCTGCGATAAATCTGAATATAAATAATGTTAATAATAAGAATTAAAATGTTTAAAACTTCTGAATACTCAAGATTAAACTGACTCACTAACTTTGTCTATCTATATATGAAGCTTCTACTGACTGAAGATAGGTGTCGAGACAAGACTCACTACTACCTGACTATTCAACTAACAATGACGGAAATAAATCAAATAAACTAAACTAACAAACTTGGAGCTCTCCGAAGGTAAGGAGGTCTAACCGACTGCCGATGGAAAAAGCTCTTACTAAATGTCTTCTATCATGAGTATTTGAAACTACATCATAAAATAATGCAGCGTCAAATAGCGTCAGTACATGGATTGTACATTATATAATAATGCTTAGTGAAACAAGTAACTTAACTGAATGAAACCCTGAAAATAACTCATTTGAAGTAAAGCATAAATATGAACTGAAATCATTAAATTAAAAACTTTACAAATAGGTATGCAATGACAGTAAATACTGAAATAAAATACTTTACTTTCTTGAGGAATTTCTCTAACCGAAAATCATCACTATGAGTCTCGTGATGATATAACACTACTAAAACAACAGTGAATACCGACCTACAATTACCGACTTTCGGAGGTCGGTATTCCCTGAAATACCGACCAAATACTGACTTTCCATCTTAGGTGGGAAAAAGCTTGGTCGCTATTCACTACCGACCTCTGGAGGTCGGTATTTACTGACCTCTCGAGGTCAGTTTTAATTTTAAGTCATAAAATTCATTATTTTATTTTCCGACTTCCTGAGGTCACTTTTATATATTTATTTATATATTATTTTTATTATTTCCGACTTCCTGAGGTCAGAATATTTATTTCTCATATTTTGAAATACTGACATCCGAATGTCGGTATTTGTTAATTTTTTTATTTTTAATTTTTAGTATTTCCGACCTCTGGAAGTTGGTATATTTTAATTTTATGTTTTCTTAATTTTTAAATTTCGACCTCTGGAGGTCGGTATTTTTTATTTTATTTATTTTTGAGATTCTGACTTCCAGAGGTCGGTATTTTTATTTTTTATTTTTGAGATTCTGACCTCCAGAGGTCGGTTTTCTGCTACAAAATTGGCAGCAAATTGCTGCAATTAGTTGCCCACCTGCATATTATACCAAAACAACCCAAAGAGCTGCCAACACAATATTTTCAACAAATGCATTAAACTAGTTCAAAATAAACTTAATCCAACTTCAAAATAAACTAAAATACGATCAAACGATTCCAAAAATATAGAAAGTCTAAAATGTCAAATAGATACAACTACTCCTCATGACCCTCGCTCTCCTTATCAGACTTATCATTCTCATCACCCTCACTCTCTTTATCAGACTTATCATTCTCATCATCCTCCTGATTAGATCAATCACTGCTGCCCAAACATGGAGGAAGAATTTTTCCTGATTCAAAAAGAAAAGTTAGTTGAGCCTAAAGCGTTGCATACCTCTTGTTCTCTGCCTCCTTTGCTGTCGCAATCTCCTCCTCTCTCTTCCTCTGTCATTCTTCTCTCTTCTTCTCACTTTCTTCTCTATTCTTCTCTCTGTCGGCTACAACAACAATCTCGGCATTGAGATAAGTTATCTTACCCTCCATTGCAGATATTGTCTCTCTATCCCCACTATCAAAGCTTGAGGATGATGAACCACAATACCAAGACTTCTTCTTCTGATACGCCTTTTTTGTTATGCTGTAGACTGAACCTCTAATCGGTTCACCTGCACTCTGTTTTCAAAGATTCTCATTTTCTTCTTATGTAAGTTGTCTGTCCTGACTCTCAAGAGGTAGATTACTACGATATTCCTGAGATATTCGTATAAACCTATCCTGCAATTTAAACAAAGAACTCTAAGAATAAAAATGTAATATATACAAGGAAAAGAAAAAAAAGATTAGTTTGAATGGAGTTCTTACATATGTTTCTTTAGCACGTGGCTCAATCCATCATTCTTCCTCTGTGGGGTTTGTACTCTTCTTTACGTGAGTAACCTTGAACATCTTTTCTACAGCTACCGGCCTACCCAACTCTTTTTCCTGCAAATAACATATAGAGAATTTGATCTCATTAATCTCCAAAAATTACTTCTCAAAAAAGAAAAAATATTATTTTACTAAATTAAGAAAGTATACCATTCTTTCCTTCCTAGTAACCTGGCTTATAGCTCCACCAGTGTGCAAAGAGTCTCCCTTTGCAGCGTCTTTTTCACGTGGTCGGAGCCTCCCTATAATTTTCCAGAGTATAGAACACAACTAAAAATATGGATCCATCTAAAAGGCCTTCTTGAGGCAGGTGATCGAGGAGTTGTCTGTATTTTAGTACAATCATATCTACGCTGATGGCATAGGTCATGGAGTTTGAGTTCTCTGAACTCTTACCCAAATTGGTAATTAATACTATTCCCAAAATATATGAAATAATGCTCATTAATTAATAATCACTAGATTAAGTTAATACTCAAAAAGACCCTTTTTAAGGGATATTTGATTTTTACTTTAATTAACTGAAATGCTTCTAAAACTATTTATGCTTTTCTTGAAATAGAACTTTCTTTCTCAATGCAAAATAATTCATCAGAGACCATTTATGTTCCCTTAAAACTCTTCTCAAATGATGCTTTTAAAAATATACTTGGACTCACATTAAGTTCCAAAATCAATGCATGAAAAATAATTACACAAAAAGTTTAATAAAATCTCATCAACTAGGGTTCATGTAATGATATAAGCATGAACAACAAACCAAGAATCGAAATGCATAAATATCATAGTTTCAATAGTTATGAAATCAGAACTCCGAATAAGAAACACAAACCGAATTCGTAATTCATGAGACTTTGGGTAGAAGTCTAAATTTATCTCTTTACCGACTGAATTAGATGTAGGACGCGAAGACGAACTTAGTCTATCACTATAAATAGCCTTACATACGTAGAAGAACAAGGTTCTTGAAGAAGCTTGAAGAAGAACTTGCTTGGAAGTCTTGAAACCCTAGTTTTTGTCTTCCTTGCAATTTCTTTTTGAGTTGGGGAGTTGAGAACGTAAAAATAAAAGAAAACTGAGTACTTGATGAAATAAATTCCCCTAATGAAAGTTAAAATGTCGAGGCTTAGACTTAAAAAAAAGTGGGAAAAAACAAAAGAAACTCCAATTAAAAAGTTGTCAAAAACCTTACATGAGGCAATCTACGATATGTGATTTGATCTACGGGCCGTAGATCCCATCCGTGAAAGTTAGACTGAAATTTTAAGTCTCAGAAGTTCATTTTATGGGACCAAACTACAACCCATAAATGCTTCTACGACCCATAACTGGGTCCGTAAGAATGGACCCAAAAATGACTTTCAGGACTTCTTTTTCCATGAATGAACAGTATGGGTCATATCTCGATCTACGACACGTATTAGGTCCGTAGTTACTGACTTTGAAAGCTCT